ATAATCATTATGTTGTGTAGCTTGAATAAGCAAAAATGGCATCCACAAGATTACACTTTTGTAGTTATTCAAATAAAAATTATCTAATGTTTTGTATATATGATGAAATAAGTTACTACATGAATAATTTGAAATTATAACTACAAATATAGGAAAATACTCACTTGGACAGAATCTAATGGTAATAGTACACTTTTCACGTGGGAACAATTTCCCAATCCATCTGTTAACCTTGAATATGCCTTTTCTAAAAAGTGTGGCAGTACTAGTAAGATCAAAAATCCACCAGATGCTCCGTTCTGAAATGTTTTCTATTGTAAGATCCTGTTTAAACAAAAAGAAGAAATTTCTAGAAAATAATAATGTGCAGTGTAATAATTACTATATCATTGTGATGGCATTAAGTAAAAGTCAAATGATTAAAAATGTAATCACAGATGAAAAGTTTTCGAAGTTATAATAGATAAAGGCGTATTAATCTATGTTCAGAGTACATTATCAACTATCAAAAATGTATAAAAGGTAAGAAGAAATAGATTAAAAATATAATGTAGCTATGTTTACTAACAGAAATGAAAACTTTCATGTATTAATGATGACAATACAAAATGATACAGTGTGAAAGAGAACTAGGCAATTTCTTGATTATACATCATATACAATGTGTGTGCATGCATATATATGAAGAAAAATAGAATACTTTTTTTTTGGAACCAGGAATTGAACTCAGACCCTTGCACTTGCCAGGAAAGCGCTTATTCTACTGAGCCATCTGCCCAGCCTCTAGAATAGTATTTTCATGGGCTATTGATGAAAATGTGAAATGTAATCTATCTATCTATCTGTCTATCTATCTATGACATGTTAGTCACACATCTATGATGTAATTCTGCAATCTTAGCCTTAAATATTTATATCTTTTTTATTTTATGAATTTGGTTGTTATAGGGTCTCACTACACATCTCATACTCATAGTGATCTTGCTGTTTTCAGCCTTCCCAGTGCTGGGATTACTGGTGTGCACCACCATGCCTGGATCAGGCCCAGGTTCAGCATGTCTGGAGATGGGGCTGGAGTAGCATGTGGTACTGGGGATCTAACCCCAGTTCCTTTCCTTGTCTAAGAAGGCACAGAGTCCTCTGAGCTGTTTTGTGGGCACTTAAATATTTATTTAAGAGAGTTGAAAATTTGTTTCTACAGAAAAACCTTTCTGGGAAATACTGTTTTGTTTATAATTATTAAACCCTTAAAGAAAAATAGAACAACTTTTTCTTTAGCTATTGAGGAAAATGTAAACTTTAATATGCATACAGGTATATATTATCAGAATTTTACATATATATGTAAAATTGTAATAAAATATGGTACAATGATAAAATATAAAATTGTGTACATTTTAAATCTTCTTTTTTCAAATTAAAAGATGTCAGATAGGCGGGATGCTGGAGAGCTGTGATCTTGGTCCCAGTGTGCACACAGCTTTCCTGGAGCCATTTAAGAACTTTGGGAGACTGGGAATCCTGCAGGACTCTGTCCAGGCGATTACTGGGAGATTTAAAACTGCCAAAACACAGGAGCAAAAGGCAATTTCTATCCTTTCTTCTACCCAGAACAAACCTAGGAGACATAGACGAACTTGGAATCACATACCTGAAATCTCTGAAATGATACCAACTGAAGTAAAGAAAGAAGTCCATCAGGCTCAAGAAGAAATAAGAGCAGAAATAAACTCTCAGGTCCAAAAAGAAAGGACAACAATCCTTGAAAGAAATGCTCAGCACAGCTAAAGAAGACACAGATAGATAGAGGAGAATAGAAAAATGACGGAAACACTGAATAGACAATACAGGAAAGAATTAAAATGCATGAAACAGATTCAAACAGATATCCAGGATATTAAGAACTCCATGGAACAATGGCAAAACCACTTGAATGACACTGAAGATAGACTTCCAGACTTTGAAGACTGTGATGCAGCTAATGAACATGAAATAAAAGATCTCTTAAAACTAACAAGGAATCAGGAAATAAAAATTCAGCAGCTAAAAGATGACACAGCAAAAAATAATATAAGAATAATAGATGTCATTGAAAATGTGGGAGTTAGCAGAAATGACATAAAAAGACTATTTGCAGAAGTACTAGCAGAAAATGTTCCAAACATGAGAAAAGATCTTGACATACAGGTAGTGAGGCATATAGAAATCCACACAGCCATAATCAGGATAAATCTATACTTTTACACAAAATAATCAACATGTCAGAAATTCAGCAAAAGAATAGAATATTAAAAGCTGCTAGAGGTGTCGGCAAGATAGCTCAGAAGTCTAAAGCAACTTCTTAGGCACGCTTACGCAAGTGCAGGTGACTATATTTTGATCCCTGGCACCACATGCCCCACCAGCCCCACCCTCAGGGCAGGCTGAACCAATCAAAACAATAAAAGCTGCTAAAGAGAAGAAACAGATCACCAAAACTGAAAGCCCATCAGAATCATGGGACATTTCTCAACACAAACCATCAAATCAAGAACTTGGAGTACTTCAGGTCATGAAAGAAAATAACTTCAACCCAGAATATGTACCCGGGAAAACTATCTACCAAATTCAGTGGTGAAATAAGAACTTTCCATGACAAAGAACAACTCAAGAAATTCATGTCCACCAAACCAACACTATAAAAGTGCTGAAAGATATTCTAGAAAGAGACAGAAGTGAGCACAGCTTCAAGAACAACAGAAAGGAACGATCAAACAGAGCAAGTAATTAAAACAAGGGAAATGACATGATGATAATCCAATACATATTAGTTATAACCACCAAGGCAAATGGCCTCAATTCACCAAACAAAAGAAACAGGCTCGGGGGCCAGCCAAACAGCTCAGCAGACTAAAGCAACTGCAAACAGGAGCAGGGGCTGGGGGTTCGATAACTGGGCCTAGATGCCAGCCTTGCCCCAGGTGAGCACTGAGATGGCAATTGAGACTGGGTGTGATGGCACACACCTGTAATCCAAGCTTTTGGAGGCTGAAAACAGGCAGATCACTATGAGTCCAATCTAGTAGTGAGACCCTGAAAAATCTGTAGACCCTTCCCTAAAATTAAAAAAAAAGAAAGAAAAAGAAAAAAAAAAAAAAAACAGGATTGCCAAGTGGATTAAGAAAGAAAATGCAACAATATGCTGTATAGAAGAAACATATTTAACTCAAAAGGTAATTTACAGACTAATAGTCAAAGAAAGGAAAACAATCCACCATACAGGAAATCAGAAAAATTAGGGGAAGCTATCCTCATTGCTGACAATATCAACTTCAAACAAAAAATGATCCGAAGAGATAAAGGTTACTACATACTTGCTAAGGGAAAACTGAAAAAGGAAGAGATAACAATAAAAAATATATATACCCAATGTAGGAGCACCAGCAAACATAAGACAAATTTGAACAGACATGAAAAATCAAATGACCACTAATACAATAGTAATGGGAGACATTAACATGACACTATCACAAAGACATAGATCTGGGCTGGTAAGATGGCTCAGTGGTCTAAAGCTCCTACTTGGAACAAGCTTAGCAAAGCACAGGGACCACGGTTCAATCCCCCAGCACCACATGCCAGCCAGCCCCGCCCCCTGGTGGGCTGAGCTGGCCACACACACACACACACACACACACACACACACACAAATAAATAAAATTTAAAAAAAAAAACAAAGACGTAGATCAACTAGGCAAAAAATAGCAATGAACTAATAGAGCTAAACAAAATTTGTGAAGAAACTGTTTTGGTAGACCTCAGCAGAGTGTTTCACCCAGCAACAAAGAATGCACATTCTCAAAAATAGACCATATACTAGCAATGTTAAGTAAATATAAAGGAATTGAAATTACCCCATGCATACTATCTGATCACAGTGCAGTAAAACTGGAAATTATTGACAAAAATAATACAAAAATACCACAAAAACATGAAAATTAAATAACAAGCTCCTAAACAACCAGTTGGTCACAGACAAAATTAAAGAAGATATTAAAATTTATTCACAATAAAATGAAAAAGTAGACAGCAAGAGACAGGAAAAGGAGTGTTGTGGGACTGTCGTGCTACAGTGCTGTATACGGTTATTTTTCTGAACTTATATGTAAACATATATAATTTTCTACTCCTATTTTGTAAATATATTTTAATTTTTTTAAACTTTTATCAGCATATTCTGTAGGGACTTAAAGTTTAACATACCAATATTTGATGAAAAATACCTGTTCCATGTTATGCCTAACATGTTTGATATTCAGACAGATAGTGAGGTTATGCTCAACAGTCTAGGTTGTACGGTAATAACAATAAGCTTCTCTTCTGGATGGTTAACAACCTAAGTTTGCAGACCAAAAATTAGAGAAAAAGGAGGGCCACAAAGAAAGCCAACACTTTGGCCCTAGCCTTCCAAGGTCAATTAAGACTCAGGCCACATGAGAACTTGTACTGTAACATCATGTAACTCAGTTTTGTCCCAAATTTTCTGATCAAGGCGATTATGGGGCCACCGAGGAAAGTGATCGATGATGAGAAGGTGCCTAAGGAGAGTCACATGGAGAGAAATCTTTCTCATGCTTTCATAAAGAGCACATTGGCCAAGCAATGACCTTGACACATCCCCGTGGCTGACGCTGACAAAAAATCTACAATCTTTGGTATAGGGTCTCAGGATAAAGCCTGAGGAGATTTGACTGATCTTATCAGATCCAAAAGCTACAATTCTTGTTACATAGGTCTTGCTTTATCTTGGTCTTAACCATCCAGCACAATGTATAAAAATGTAGTATAAGAAGTAAAGCCATGTTATGTTCAGCTATAGGGGACTCAGATCAACAACTTCTGACATTGCCAGTCAAGTGGAAGAACCAATACTATTACGGACTACTGGACTATTTTGGAATATTTTGCTGAGTTCACACACCTATAATATTTAAATGACAGAACTAAACATAAAAAAGGGATACAGATGAATGAACATTTTGTATCTGTGTATTCAAAATGGTTAGGATAGGGCTGGAGAGATGGCTCAGTGGTCTAAAGCACCTACTTAGAACAAGCTTAGCAAA